TCCAGGTAGTTCACATCTTGTTTCATTTAATTCTCACCATTGACCTATGTGGTAGGGAGATGTTATCCTTACTTTCAGATTCTTTCACAGAAGTGAAAGAATCTGAAGCTCAGAGAAGTGTGATGATTTGCCCAAGGGCATGCAGCAAGACAGCAGAGCTGGGGCTCAAACCCACATCTGTCTGGCTCTGGAATTTGTGCCCTTCCATATGGCCTTGCAGCATGAGCCGGAGGGGGAAAACAAGACTGGATGGGTCAGCAGGCGCTGGAGGTTTATACTGCTGTAGCAGCAGGGAGAGATGAATCCCAGAGATAGCTTTGGAGGCTGCAGAGGAGATCCAGGCTCATACCGAGGTAGGGAAACCAATGTACAATGGACCAGTTAGAGTGTGTGCACCTCTAGGAACAGAGGTGAGGCCCATGAACTCTGGTGGGTTCTGCGAGTGACTGGGGCCCCATGGGCATTAGGGAAGAGGAATCCAAGGAGGTTGCAGTTGGTCTGTGTTTTGCTCATCAGAGCCAGTGCAGGACAATGGAGAAAGCAGGGCTTCAGAGTCAGGTAGGCCTTGCTTTGAGTCTTTCCTCAACTTCTCTCCCGTGGGAACCCTTGGAGCCTTGTTCCTCACTAGTGAAGTGGGTGAACTGACCCTAATGAGGGCTGAGTGAGGTGCTGGGGAGTGCTCGGTCACTGGTGCCTAGAGCTGTGTGATACAAGTACCTTATTCGAAAAAAAGAGGTCACCAGGTGGTTGAGTGGGGATGCATGCCACAGCAGCCCGTGGGAAAGCTGATGGGTTGCAGGTCTTTAAGCTCTGATGCTTGTCTTGCTGGGCAGGGCACTCAGGGGCTCTGGGTGCTCACACCCCTCCAGGCTCTCCTTTGTCCTCTTGGATGCTGTCTGCCTCAGTTTCCCCATGGATCTGCCCTGTTCTGGGCCCAGTGCTGGCTGAGGCCTGTGCATATGTGTTGAGTCAGTGTTCCTGGCAGGACATGTCACCTGGTCTTATTTGTCTTCTTCCCCTGACTTTCCTGTGTGTGTGTGTGTGTGTGTGTGTGTGTGAGAGAGAGAGAGAGAGAGAGAGAGAGAGAGAGAGAGAGAGAGAGGGTGGGGTGCTGCATGGAGAGGAGCGCAGTCAGTCCTAGGCCCTGGTGTGCCACCATGGGCTTGTTACTTCCCCTTTCTGGCCCAGCTCAGGAGGCTGAGAGAGGGACTCAAAAGCTGGGCTTGGGACATATTCCAATTTCAAATACCCTTGGGTATTGTGGGGCAGGCCAGCAAAATGGTTGGTGAGTAGTTAGAGGACTTGGAGTCCACAGGGCAGTGTGAGTCCACGAGCAGGTCAGGTGGTCTCTGACATGTCCTTGTGTGATGAGCTTACTACATGCCAGGCTGTGGGGTGGGGGTACTGTCTAGACCTAAAAATGGGCATGTTGCCTAACAGGATCTGGACAACAGGCTAAGCCACACTTGGTTCAAGTTGCACAGTGTCTCCAGAGTGCTTGCTGATAATCAGGCATTGGGCTTGAGAGTGGTCCTGGTGGAGATATGGAAGCTTGTCTTGGAGCCTCTTAGTGCTCCCACAATGAAGGCTGGCATAGTCTGAAGTTGGTGCTGCCAGGTGGAGCTGAGACCTTGCAAGGGACTGTTTCTGGCAATCCCTGTGGGGGCAGCCAGGAGTATGGCTTTCACTTATTGATCTTTTTCTGGGCAGGCACTATTCACAGAGGTCAGGGAGATGACACTCGCTGTCCCTCAAAGGGCTGGAGGTGGTGAGAGGGGACATTTCAGATAGTTGGAAAATGGAACTATTTGTGATGAAAGGGACATAGAAGAGGGTGAAGCCAGCTCTGCCTGGAGAGTGGACTATAAGGAAGGCTTCCAAGGTGAGAGGTCATTTGAGAAGTGTTTGAAGGTTGAGTAGGAGTTTTCTAGGCAAAGACAGTGAGCAAACAGGTAGAGGTTTGAGAAGAGGTGATCCTGTTCTGGATAGGCTAAGTTTGAAGGACAGAGAGTTGCTAAGGAGGGCATGGAGCAGTGGAGTATGGGAGAAGTAGGGACTGGACATAATACCTGAGAGCTTTGGGTCAGCAGGAGTTCATTAAGTCTTGGGGTACATGTGCAGTGAGAACAGGTCAAAGTGTGAATGCCTACTGTGGGAAGCAGTGGGAAAGCAGACCAGCCAAGGGGACTGGGACGGAGTAGTTCCTGGAGAGGGTTGGGAGGGAGCCAGAGAGTCAGGGAGGACACTCTTTAAAGGCAGGAAGGATCAACGAGGCCAACCATGGCTGAGGATCCAGCAAATGAGGCCTGTGAAGTATCCCAAGATTTAGCAGCAAGGAGGATGTTGATGGCTTTGTCAAGAATGGTTTCAGCAGAAAGATGTGGGCAGCAGCCAGACTGCAGTAGATCAACAGGGGAGGTGACATTTCAGCCAGGAAAAGAGTGGCAGGTGAGCAAGTAGAGTGACAGCTGGGGAGCACTTGGTACTGCCTAGGGCAGCAGGTGGAGGTATAAGGAGGTCCCCCTAGAATGGAGCTGGCCTGGGTTAGTCATGGACTGCCACAAGGAGAGGATGTGGAGGAAAGAGGGGGGGCATGGATGGAGAAGCAGAGGATAGTGTGCAGGACCAGGCCATGGATGGCCTTATAGAAGAAGCAAAGCTGGGAGGTAGAGAGAGGCAGCAGGAAGTCTGGCTGTACGTCATTCTAGCTCTGCCTTCTCTATGAAGGAGGTCATGACTGGTAGTGGGGAGCTGGGCTTCAGGAGAGAGGACCAGGTCCAGTGTGTGTGACCATGGAGGCCATCAAAGAAGGAACAGAACCTAGCAGGGCTGCTGAGAAACCTTGGGCTCCCTGACGTTCAGATGTGGAGCCCTAAACCTGTCACAGTGCCAATTGGCTTAGCTGCAGATTCTTCAGCAGCCTGGAAGTAGGCGTGGAGAAGATGACTAGTCACAAGGCTCCAGGCTGGGGATGGCTGAGCGGGTGTGGCAGAAGGGCTGGGTAAGGAGACTGAAGAACTGCTGTCATGACCTGATACCTCCTCTATGGTCTGGAAGAAGCAGGATCCACGTAAAGCCAGGAGGACCACTGGAAGAGGCATGGGGGCTATAGGTGGCCAGGCTGGTGTGAGATTGTGAGAGAAGGTTGTAACATCAGATTGTTGCTGTCTTCTTAGCACTTACTATGGGTCAAGCATGGTGTGAGGGGCTCTGCAGCTTCTTTGAGGGGGACTATGTCAGTCTTTCAGGCAGGGTTAGTATGAGTACTGTTTCCAGAGGGGAAGGCAGGGTCAGAGAGGGAAGAGACTTGCCCAAAACCACACAGCTGGTCAGCGTCCACTCCCCAGTGTCCATGCCTCAGTTGAAATCCAGAGTTGTTTTTCTGGGGTCCAGGATTCAGAAGTGGTGGAGAAGTATCAAGGATAGAGTGACTCAGGCCTGAGGACTGGTGACTAAGGAAAGGCCCTGGAGTTGACAAGACTGGCAGCTGAGTTGGGGGCTGTTCAGAGCTTCCCCCATTCCCCCATTACAGTGGGTTTGCTTAGGGTGGCCACTTCACCAGTCTAGTCAGGAAGGGGTTTTTCTCAGGTGCAGAGTCTGGACTGGGCAGCAGGGGGGCAGGAGGAACACAGCCCTTTGAGATGCCTTTTGGGTGCTGACCCAACTTTTAGACATAGGAGAAAGATAGGACTGTGGGAGAACAGTACTTTCTGGTCTGGGGACAGCACAGGCTGAGCCCTGTCCACAAATGCTCTTCCAGACCCACCTGCTCAGTGGCCCTTACATGGGCGGGGCCTCCCCTCCCTGGATTCCTGTCTGTCCCTCACCCCTAAAACCTAGTCTGAGAGCGCATTAGTCAGCTTTCATTACTATAACAGCTACCTGAGATGGTCAGCTTCTAAAGAGGTTTTATTTCTCTCACAGTTCTGGAGGTTTCAGTCCATGGTCAGTTGGCCCTGTTGCTTTTGGGCCTATGGGAGTGCGTAGTGGAGGAATTCCATTTGCCTCATACCAGGAATGAAAAAGAGGGGAAGAAGAAGGGACATGAGTCCCATAATCCCCTTCAATGACACATCCCCCAACAATCAGAAGACCTCCCACTAAGCCCTGTTTCTTAAAGCTTCTACCATCTCCTGGTAACCCAAATTGAGGACCAAGCCTTTAATACACAGGCCTTTGGAAACCATTCCATATCCAAACTACAGCAGAGGGGGAGGGCTAGAGGAACCCCTGACTGTGCAGCAGGGCAGGCTGGGGAGGATGGTCTCCAGGGCTGATGGAACGGTCAAGGCCTAGACCAGACACATCTATCTGGCAGGCAAGAGGCCTCCCGGGGCACCTGCTGCTCTCCTGGCCATGGGAGGAGGGCCTGCTAGTTGTAGGTCCCTACCCTAGCCCCTTGGTCTCAGAGGAGTGACATTCTGACCTGTGCCTCCACATCACAGTCCAGTACTGCTTGGGGGTGGGGGGGCAGAAATGCCCTGCATCCAGCCCCAGGCCCAGCATAAGTTGTATCTCAGAAGCAGGTATGGAGTGGGAAGTTGGCTGTTCTGTCAGCCCCATAGTCAGTCCTATGAGGGGGAAATGCTGAGTTTCAGGCTCAGAAAGCTGTGTTCTCCCTCTCTGGTCCTGTTTCCCCATTTCTTCTGAGGGTGATGATGAAAGGGTACAGATGTGTGCAGGACTTGACCCAGACACCTCCCCAGAGCTCATTAACATAGGCAGCCACTTCCCTCTAATTTCCCCTAACTGGCTGAGGCAAGAGGTAGAAAAGGTGGTTGTGAGGCTGTGGGTGAGTCCTGTGTGGCCTTCTGAGCCTCAGTTTCCTTATCTGTAAAATGGTGGTGGGGACAGGGGGCAGGACAAGATGCTCTTTCTGCATCGCCTGCAGTTGCTTTCAGGCCCTGAGGCTGAGGACCAGCAAGGCTGCCCTCTCTGTGCCACTGTGGCAGGACTGAGCTGGCTTTTACTGAGCCCCTGCCACCACCTCCGTGTTCCAGGTGAGGAGCCGGAAGAGGAACCGAAGGTGAAAACCCAGTGGCCAAGGTCTGCAGATGAGCCTGGGCTATACATGGCGCAGACAGGTAACTCGGGCCACCTCCCTTCTTCTGTGGCGGAGCCCGACTGTGTGGCGTGTGTGCTTGGTGTGTGCCGTCTGTGTCTATGTCCTGGAGCTCAGTTGTCTCTGCCACATAAGGCCTGTGGGCAGGGCTGGACTGCGTCCCAGTGAGCCTGCCACTTGGGGTTAGGGTAGGAGGGTCCCTCTGATGCCTGCCCCCATCTTGCTGGTGCCTCCCTAGCCCCATGAAACAGAATGCCTGGGAGGTGTCTCCTGCTGCCGACGCTGTCCCTCTCTCGTAGGCGACCCGGCAGCTGAGGAGTGGTCCCCGTGGAGCGTGTGTTCCCTGACGTGTGGGCAGGGTCTGCAGGTGCGGACCCGCTCCTGCGTGTCCTCCCCTTATGGGACCCTGTGCAGCGGGCCCCTGCGGGAGACCCGGCCCTGCAACAATTCAGCCACCTGCCCAGGTAGGCCTGTCCTCCTCCCTGTCCCTTCTGCTGACAGGGTTAAGTCCTGCCTGGGACTTGGGCACACAAATCTTTCAAAACTGCTTGGTTCATTCAACAAACTTGCCTGTCTCCCACACTATGTCTAGCCCCATGCACTATGCTAGCCTAGTGCAGACTGGGGACACAGATGAACCTGGCCACACCACTGGGTTCCACTCTGGGCACCTCACTGCTCTGATGCCTACTTCCTGGTCATCAAGGCTCATCTTTACCTGCATGGTCTCACCTTTGTGTTCCCCCAGCCCTGGCCTCACCAGCACCTCTGGCACTGTTATACCTACTGTTCCACTTATTCTTGTCTTGTTCCCTAACCCCCACCTTGGTTAAATAGTTCAACCTGTCCTTCAGGATCTAAGATGAATGAATGCCTTTTATTTGAAAACAAAGCCTCCCTGACCACATCCTTCCTGCCCCCCATTCTCACTCCCCTAGACCCTTAGACTTTCCTTAGTTAAGCCTGTAGTTGTTGAGGAAATGCATGCCTGGGACAGGTGGTGACCATGAAGGGTAGGGCAACGTCAGCCAGTCCCACTCCTTATTCCTGGTGTGGGTGAAGTGCTAGGTATGAATTTAGAGTAGGCTAACCTGGGGAGGGCTCTTGGTATCTGGGGTTGTGGCAGGAGCTTGCAGAGGGCTGGGGTAAAGGTGTGTTCCATCGTGTGAGATCGTTGTGTTGGTGTCAACGTACAGGTTCATGTCTATTTGTGTGTCCATACTCTTGGGGTTGGGAGGGGCACTTCTGTTGCCCCTGGCCTGTCATATTGGATTCAGGTTCTGGGTCTGGGGATGGGAAAATAGGGGTGGGCATGGATCTTGGATTTTCCTGTGCCCTCAAGGGAGAAGGACTCCTGGTTCCCCTCCTGGGTTGATCCTACTGCCCCTGTCCACAGGGTCTGTCCTGTGTGAGTTGGGACCGAAAGCCTGTGCCTTCTACATTCCTTCAAAGGGTGGAGTCCTGGGGTCAAAGATCTCCCTGGCCACAGAACCCAGGGCAGAGCCAATAAGGAGCGGTCACAGAGTTGTGGAGCTCCTGATTGGTGGGTGGATGGGGCAGGCGATGGTAGTGGGCGGGGCCAAGGTGCCGCCCAGCCACCGGCCACGTGCTTCCTTGCAGTGCACGGCGTGTGGGAGGAGTGGGGGTCCTGGAGCCTGTGCTCCCGCAGCTGCGGGCGGGGGTCCCGGAGCCGGATGCGGACCTGCGTGCCCCCCCAGCACGGCGGCAAGGCCTGCGAGGGTCCCGAGCTGCAGACTAAGCTCTGCAGTATGGCCGCCTGCCCGGGTCAGTAGCGCCAGGGGGCTTCTAGGCAGGCGCTGCCCAGCTGGGTGGGGGGGTGGGGAAACCCAAGGGAGGCAGTCAGGTCCAGTGCCCTGCCCCTGAGGGGCCCATGAACTTTGACCAAGCATGGGGAGACTGGAGATATATGCCATCAGTGTGGGAGGTGAGTCCCAGCCCTGACTTGGGGTTGGCATACTGTAACCCCAACAGAAGGGGGCTGTGTGCTGGTGTCCCTACCTCCAAGCCCTGGGCTACACTTGTTGTTAATAGCACTTTGGTACCTATGACCAGCTAGACTGTGAGAGGATACAAAGCTGGACTTAAGTGTGGACAAAGATCAGAAGGCAGCCTGTATCCTCACCCAGAGGAGAGTTCACCACTCTGTGCTGAATGGAGTGGTGTCCTGTGTTCCTGGAGTTGGTGACAGACAGGCAGGCTGAGGCCCAGGCACCACCTGCTCATTCCAGCCCATTCCAGTGGGTCTGGCCTGGCACAGGTCTGAGTGCCTAGCAGGTTCTGTGATCTCTCTGTGGTATTCTGCCCTTGCAGTCTACCCACGTTCTGCTCAACAGCCACCCCTGCTTGTGTCTCCCATGCAGTGGAAGGCCAGTGGCTAGAATGGGGTCCCTGGGGCCCATGCTCATCGTCCTGTGCCAATGGGACCCAGCAGCGCAGCCGGAAGTGCAGTGTGGCAGGTCCAGCCTGGGCTACGTGCACAGGCGCCCTCACTGACACCCGCGAGTGCAGCAACCTTGAGTGTCCTGGTGAGTGCTTGGCATGAAGGTAGCAGGTGGCAGCCCTGGCCCTGTGGGGGCACCTGCAGCCTCTCACACTCCCCTTCTCCCGCAGCCACTGATGGCAAGTGGGGGCCGTGGAACGCATGGAGCTTGTGCTCCAAGACATGTGACACCGGCTGGCAGCGCCGCTTCCGCATGTGCCAGGCCACGGGCACTCAGGGATACCCCTGTGAGGGCACTGGAGAAGAGGTGAAACCCTGCAGCGAGAAGAGGTGTCCAGGTACTGCTCGCATAACCATGGGAGGTCTGGGGACTGTGTGTGAGTCGGGCTGACTCCTCTTTGCCCACCTAGCTTTCCATGAGATGTGCAGGGATGAGTATGTGATGCTGATGACGTGGAAGAAGGCAGCTGCTGGCGAGATTATCTACAACAAGTGTCCCCCCAATGCCTCGGGTAAGGGCAAGCAGCTCTCCTTGGAGACCCTCTCCCTACCACGCCTGCTCCTCACTTCTGGGCGCTCAGTATCTGAGTTTCCCTACTGAGGTGTGGAGGGAATGGGTGAGATCTTGGTCCCCACGCCCAACCCTCTGTCTTATCCCTGTGCAGGGTCTGCCAGCCGCCGCTGTCTCCTCAGTGCCCAGGGCGTGGCGTACTGGGGACTGCCCAGCTTTGCCCGCTGCATTTCCCATGAATACCGCTACCTATATCTGTCGGTGAGTGTGCTTTGCCAGATTGGGGTGCCACATATCTGTCCCAGACTCTGGTAGGAGGTGGAAGGAGCTTGAGGGTTTGCTCATTCCCATGTACCTTAGCATATGCTGCTCCCACTTCTGCTGGGCTATGCCAGAACTCTTGCTCATACATCAAGGCTTAACTCTCAAGTGCTTTCTCTTATCCCTGGCACCCAACCCTGTGCTTCTATATTCCCCTCAAACTTCTCGGTCATTAGGTGTTAAGGATGCTTATCTAAGTGTCTTGGTGTGTCTCTGTGCTCCACAGAGGCTCCTTGAAGGCAGGGACAAAGTTGAGTTTATTTTTGTGTCCCCAGTGCCCAGCCATGTAAGGGTGGTGTAGCAGATGTGGCCCACGTGTACGTTTCTGGCTGTATTATGTATTTGTTGTGTGTTTGCATTTAGCGCTTGTGTTAGAGGGTGAGGGAGAGAGAGCACATGTGCATGAGCCTTTGGGACGGGGCGGGGCCCTGTCCCCTTACTGCTTTATCATCGTTTATGTGTACATTTGAGCACCTTCTTTCTCTAGGTGTTTCCACTTGAGTCTTTCTAAAGTAACTTTTAAGGTTCCCCCTCAGTCTCCTTCTTGGACTCTGTCTCTCCTGGTAGCCCTTTGAGTAGCTCTCTCTGATCTTTTATGCCCTCTCTCTTCCTGAATGCAAGCAATGGGTGGATGGGAGTGGGATGGGCCAGGGTTTGGTCTCCGTTCCTGATGCTCCAGTGACAGGGACACATATGTCACCTGCAGCTTCGGGAGCACCTGGCCAAGGGTCAGCGCATGCTTGCGGGTGAGGGTATGTCACAGGTGGTACGCAGCCTTCAGGAGCTACTGGCCCGGCGTACTTATTACAGTGGGGACCTGCTCTTCTCTGTGGACATTCTGAGGAATGTCACTGACACCTTCAAGAGGGCCACCTATGTGCCCTCAGCTGATGATGTGCAGGTACCTTTCTGTGCTGCCTAGGGGAAGGAGGGCCAAGGGTGGAGAAGCCTCAGCCTGAAGGGGAGGCCAACCTCTGTGGCAGTGTCTGCTGGGGGCAGCAAGTGTGGTTGCAGTGGGGAGGTCCTTGTTCCCCAGGGCTCAGGCTCCCTGACCTTCATTGTTTCTCCCTAGCGCTTCTTCCAGGTGGTGAGCTTCATGGTGGATGCAGAGAACAAGGACAAGTGGGATGATGCTCAGCAGGTGAGGGGCCCATCTTCCTGGGTTTTCCCTTTCATGACCCTCCTCTGCCTTGGACCCTTACATCTTTACACACTCTGTCCCCAGGTGTCTCCTGGCTCTGTGCACTTGCTCCGTGTCGTGGAGGACTTCATTCACCTGGTGGGCGATGCCCTCAAGGCCTTCCAGAGCTCTCTGATTGTCACGGACAATCTGGGTACAAGGAGGCAGGCAGGGGAGGGGGTGCTGGATGTGACAGAACCCAGGCCACTGTGGATGAGGGATGGTTTCTGATGGACTCTTCCTATTTTTCTCTTATTTATGGGTCCTTTCTTTCCCCTATTTAATCCCTGAATATATCTTTCTCTCCACCTTTTTTCCTCCTCTCCCTCTGAATTGTCTGTTTCTCTGTGTTTATACCAACCTTGGTGTCTGTCTGCCTTCCATGATGTGTGTCTCCCCCACATCTGTCTCTTCCCTGGGTCTGTCCCCTTCTGTTTCTGGTGCGCTCTGCCCACCCTCCTCCCACTGCAGTGATCAGCATTCAGCGAGAGCCTGTCTCGGCTGTGTCCAGCGACATCACATTTCCCATGCGGGGCCGCCGGGGCATGAAGGACTGGGTGCGGCACTCCGAGGACCGCCTCTTCCTGCCCAAGGAGGTGCTCAGTCTCTCCTCCCCAGGGAAGCCAGCCACACCTGGGGTGGCAGCAGCAGCAGCAGCAGCAGCGGGCAACCCTGGCAGGGGTAGGGGCCCAGGAACAGTACCCCCTGGGCCAGGCCACTCCCACCAGCGCCTCCTCCCAGCAGATCCTGATGAGTCCTCCTACTTTGTGATTGGTGCTGTGCTCTACCGCACCCTTGGCCTCATCCTGCCACCCCCCAGGTGAGTCTGCCTTGAGCAGAGATCCACCTGCAGCCCTGTGCTAGGGGAGGAGCCAGTCCTTGCCTGGCTTTGTAGACAGCTGCTTTTCAAGAGCATCCTTGTAGCAAACAGAGGTTGTTCTGGCATCCAGAACCCAGCTCTAGAACTTACCCAGAGTTCTGCCCACTGAGCTCTAGGAGTCTTTCCCTGGGCCTTGGTCCCCTGGAAGCCTGTTCCCATCCCCCATCCAAAGTATCTTTGGATACTTGCTTCTGGCACCTGCTGACAGGAGCTGACCTCAGTACCTGTTCCCCAGGCCTCCACTAGCTGTCACCTCCCGGGTGATGACAGTGACTGTGCGGCCCCCCACCCAGCCTCCAGCTGAGCCCCTCATCACCGTGGAACTTTCCTACATCATCAATGTGAGTGGGAGCCCAGGTGGGACCTAAGTATATGCCAACATGGGTGCTCAGAAGCCTTTCTGATGGGGGCGTTGTCCATCCCTGATGGTGGACTGGATGTCTGACCTGTGTGGGAGCTGCTGTGGTCAGGGGCTCACCTCCCCATTCTTGACTGCACGCCTGACTTCTCCCCAGGGCACCACGGATCCCCACTGTGCCAGCTGGGACTACTCTAGAGCGTGAGTTGGGGGCAACTCAGTGAGGAAGGGGCAGCCCTAGAACCCCTCATCAGAAAGGGTCTCCTGCCTGGCAGACCAAAGGGTTCCTTGGTGCCATCCTTGGTTTGAGGGGTCAAGGACGCATCCTGGGGCTCCCTGCTACCACCTCATGGATGCAACCTTGTCCTGGATCTCACCTGTCCTCCAGCACTGGGGGTGGGGCTGCAGAACTGGGCTCAGGGTTCATGCCACCTCTCCCCCACCCAAGAGATGCCAGCTCAGGGGACTGGGACACTGAGAGCTGCCAGACCTTGGAGACCCAGGCAGCCCACACTCGCTGCCAGTGTCAGCACCTGTCCACCTTTGCTGTCCTGGCCCAGCCGCCCAAGGACCTGGTGAGTGGGAGAGAGGTGCTGGGCAAGGGAAGAGGCCCCTGGGCAGCCAGGAGCTGTTTGTGATGGTGTTGGTTGACACCTGGGTGATCCCGAATGTGACCTGTGCAGGCGCGCTTGTGGGATTGCACATGGAACTGGGGTCTTGGGATGGTGCTTGTAGCCATGGCACCTGCCCAGTGGTGTATGGCAGTGGGAAATTGGGATTGTGAGCGCACATGTGCCGTGTGTATGTGTGGAAGATCACGGGTGACTGAGTATAACTATGCATCTACATGTGGCCAGGTTTGGTCTGTGCACTTGTGTGAATAATAGCGAGTGCCTTCCCATCTGTACATGGGTGTGCCCATCTGCACCAGACAGGGAGACTGGGTGCCCTGCCACCGCCCTCTCCCAGCAACCCATCTCCCGCAGACCCTGGAGCTGGCGGGCGCCCCCTCGGTTCCCCTGGTGATCGGCTGTGCGGTGTCCTGCATGGCCCTGCTCACACTGCTTGCCATCTATGCTGCCTTCTGGAGGTAGGTCGGATGTCTGGTGGGATGGGAGGTGGCCAGCCACCCTGCATTGGACAGGCACCAGCGCCTCTGCCTCTGCCAACTGTGCCCTGTTAGGTTCATAAAATCTGAGCGCTCCATCATCTTGCTGAACTTCTGCCTGTCCATCCTGGCTTCCAACATCCTGATCCTTGTGGGCCAGTCCCGGGTGCTGAGCAAGGCAGGTGCAGGCTCCCAGGGGCATGTGGGACCATAGAGGGTGAGGCGGTGAGGGCAGAAAGTGCCTGCAGTTGGGAGTGCGTGCGTTTGTGTGCAGGTCTGTAAGAGAAGGATGTGTGTGTATGTTCCAGCTGCATATTGGAGAGAGGGTGTGTGCATGAAGTAGTGTGTGAGCAAACGTGAGGGCGTTGGAGAGGGGGTGTGTGTGTGTGTGTACTCAGTGATGAGTTTGTGTACAACAGTGAATGTGTGCGTGAGCTGAGTGCCTGGGTGCACGTGTTTTGGGTGGGTGGCATTGTGCTTCCTGTTGCCATGAGGCCCCCTTCACCACCTGCCTGTGAATGACCCAAGCTGACTATCTCCCATGCCCCCTTGGCCTTCTCTGCACTGTGCCAGACTGTGAGTGCCAGGTGTGGGGCCCACTTGGCCATGACGTGGCAGATGCTCCTGTCTGTCCCCCCCTCTTGCCAGCCCTGTCTATGTGTGGGTGGCCTGCCTGCCCGCCTCCCCGGATGCCGAGTGCTGTGTGCGTGTCACCAGGCCTGTGTCGTGTTATGTGTGGGTGCAGGAAGGCGGGGGTGCCTGGCAGGGCTCTTTGTGGGGGGCAGGGCTCGGGTGGGTGGCTGGCCACAGCAGCGCCCAGAAGCTGGTGTGGGAAGCTGGTGCCTCCCACCCTGGCAGCTGCTCAGGGCCACTCCCTCCTGTTCCCTCTCCATGCAGGGCGTTTGCACCATGACGGCTGCCTTCCTGCACTTCTTCTTTCTGTCCTCTTTTTGTTGGGTGCTTACCGAGGCCTGGCAGTCCTACCTGGCTGTCATTGGGCGGATGCGCACCCGCCTGGTTCGCAAGCGCTTCCTCTGCCTGGGCTGGGGTGAGCAGGGCCAGTGCTGGACTCTGCTGCTGGGGCTTGGGTGACAGGGGCAGCCAGGGAGATGCAGCTTTGGCACTGGCCCAACTCTCTGGGCATGAGGGTCTCTGGGATGGGGGGGGTCTCTGGGATGGGGAGGACAGGGAGAATGAGGGGGCCCTGAGCACCTGCAGCCTTCTCAGTCTTATCTTCTCCACTCCCCAGGTCTGCCTGCCCTGGTGGTGGCTGTGTCTGTGGGCTTTACGCGCACCAAAGGATATGGTACATCCAGCTAGTACGTTGGCCTCTGGTGGCGGGTAGGGGCGGGGCTTGTGAGTCTATAAGGGACCTGGACTGGGCATTAGGCCTTCTCAGGCTAAGGTCCTGGCCCCACACCTGTTATATGTCTTTGGGTAAACTCTTTCCTATGTCTGAGCCTCAGTTTCCTTTCATTCCCTATGGTAGCACCAGTGGCTGGGCCTAATGTTCTTGACTTTGTTTTGGAAGGAAACTGAGGCTCTGCCCATGGCTTATTCTCACCCTATCTGGGTGATCCATCTCCATTGCCGTGTGAACATAGGCCCCGGGACTGAGGGATGATGTTTGAGGGTGGGGAGGGAGCCTGCTGGGTGGGTGTCTGATGTCCCTTTTCTCTCTTCCCCGCTACCCTAGCTGCTGGCTCTCCTTGGAAGGTGGCCTGCTATATGCCTTTGTGGGCCCTGCAGCTGTCATTGTCCTGGTATGTGCCCCTTCAGCATCCTGGGAGGGATGTGACCTTCCTGTTGGGGTCATCCTGTCCTTTGGCTTCCTTCTTGTCCTCCACCTCCCACTTGGGGGTTTCCCTGCCTAGAGGGCACCTGGTGATCCTGTCTTCCCTGCTCCCCTGCACTGGGCCCCCAGGTGAACATGCTCATCGGAATCATCGTCTTCAACAAGCTCATGGCACGTGATGGCATCTCGGACAAATCTAAGAAGCAGAGGGCCGGGTAAGGGGAGATCTCTGGGACTTGGCCTTCTCTGGGACAGGGTGTAGGGAGGAGGGCTGAGGACACTCTTGGAGACTCAGGGCTCACTGATGCCACCTGGGCTCCCCAACCTTGGGGCATCAAGGGTGCACACAAGGTGGGCACCCGGAGTGCTCAGCTGTAGCCCCTCGCCCACCCTAACCCAGCTCTCTTTCTCTCGTCTGCCCTCCCCTTCCACCCTTCTCGGGGCTTATTCTGCCCCTATCTCCCGGTTTCCCACGTGTTTCCCCCTTCTCCTGTGTCTGTGCCACCCCCGAGGTCGGAGCGGTGCCCCTGGGCCAGCCTGCTCCTCCCCTGCTCAGCGTGTGGAGCGGTCCCCAGCCCCCTGCTCAGCTCAGCCTCGGCCAGGAACGCCATGTTAGTCGTGCCCCCTGGGGGGTGGTGGGGTGGGCTGGGGCAAGGAATGGGGGGGCAGTGCCTGTGGTGGTAGCGGGGAGGAAGGGATATGAGCTCAGTGCTGGGGAGAGCCTGTCCTGCCTGCCAACTGCCATGAGCTCTCCAAGGCTTGGGAATGAGGTGGCAGAGGGCTGTGGGGAGTGATGTGCCTCCCCAAGGTGCTGGGTTCCTTCACCCACCCTTCCCTGCACCCTGCCCCTGCTCCTGGCTAATGTTCTATGGGCACAGCCACAGACTCCTCCTTCAACGGCCTACAGAGGCTCAGAGATTTTTAGGCCCTTAGAATTTTTGAGTTTTAGGACCTTAGAATTAGAATGATAAAATCTTAGAATAAGACAATCAGAAGCTAAGCATTTTAGAATGAGTGAATCATAGTCTTATCATCTGTCATAGAATCTGAGACTTAGACTCTCAGAGGCATTGAATTTCACAATCACTTGGAGACAGAATTATGGAGGTAGGTGCTTACTTTACTGAGACCTCCCCTCCCCCAGCAGCTGAGCCTCTTCAGATCCCAGCTATTCAAGAGTAGAAGCCTAGGCCCAACCTCTCACCCAGGACTGAGGTCCCTCTGAGCCCCCTGACCGGGGGGTCCAGCTTTGCCTTGCACACCTCCAGGGGCCTTTGGAGGTGGCTGGCACCATTACTCTAAGGTGCCAAGAGCTCCCTCTTCTTTGGGCTTCCATCTGCCTCTCTGCCTAGTCTGCTGAACTAGCAGTTCAAAGCTTGGGCTTTGGAGTCCACCAAGCTGGGTTTGTGTCCCAGGTCTCTCTCTGCCCAGCTGGGCACACTCATCTCCTCATCTGTAAATCGGGATACTGGTCCTCAGGCCTATTTATTGGAGTTGTTTTGATAATAATTTGAAATAATATATGTAAAGTGTTCAGTGTAGGGCCTGGCAGAGAATTGGTGGTTAATCAATGGCAGTTCTTATTACTATGATTAGATCCTCTCTTGATCTTGGCTCCACCTCTGGGGCTTCAGAGACCATTGTGCCTGCCCCCTGCTGGGCTCAGTAGCTCTGAACCACTCTTCTTAGGACAGGTCTTGGCTCCCTGCCCATCTCCTTTGCTGCAGCCTCCCTGGCTCTCTCTGCAGAATAGTTTATTCCGCCCTGTCTAGAGCTGTGCCTGACTCTCCACTGGGGGTGCTACGGGGCAGAGTGGGCTCTGTGTGGCTTCCAGCCCAGTAGGGCAAGGCAGCCCTTCCATCTTTTGTCCTATAGTGGGCTATAGTATGTGGGGTGGGGGGTGGAGCAGCCTGGGGGCCAGGGCTCATATGCCTTTTTTCTCTGGCCTCCCTCTTGCAAGGAGGTCAGATATATGTGGATTTGGCCTTGACCCCAGCTATGATCCTTCTGCCTATGATGCTGAGCAGCCATTGGCAGCGGTCACCTCCTCTGTGGAGAGCTGGGGGGATGGCTTCCTCCTCACTGGTCCTGGCCCCGTCTTCTCCCCCAAGGATTTCTGTTCTGGCATCCTCCGCAGAGATTAAACATGCTCTGCCTGTTTAATCTTTCTGTCTGGGTATCTCTGTCTCATGCTCTCTCACACTGGTGTCTCTCTTTGTCCCTGTTCCTCTCCTCTTCTCCCCAACCTACCTAGTTGGAATTTGGGTATGTGACCCAGGCCTGTGCATTTTTTCAAAGCTTTCTGGGTGATTCTGTGCAAGTTGGGCCTGAAACTCACCATGTCTGCACTGGTCTGCTTCACTTCCCTCCCGTGTCCCTTTCTACCTCCCTGTCCCCTGACACTGCCTGTGCTCTGGCTCAGTCCTCTTGTGTCTATATGTCTGTCCTTCCCAACTCTCCTGGTTCCTGCTCTAGCCCCGCACTTCTCCACTCTCTGTCTGTTTCTCTGTTTTTCTGGCTCCAGCTCCTCAGCCCCTCTGTGCTTGAGGAGGTCCTACAATTTTGGGCCCTACGAGTCCCAAAGCTGAATGGAGGCCTGGGCTCCTGCCACTTGTGGAGTGTCACCCTGACAGACCCTGTGCCACTGTTCCCTCAGGGCCTCACTCTGGAGCTCCTGCGTCGTGCTGCCCCTCCTGGCACTCACATGGATGTCTGCTGTCCTGGCCATGACAGACCGCCGCTCCGTCCTCTTCCAGGCCCTCTTTGCTGTCTTCAACTCTGCGCAAGGCTTTGTCATCACCGCTGTGCACTGCTTCTTGCGCCGAGAGGTGAGCTGGGCCTCTTCCACCTCTGCCTGTCTGCCACACTGTGCTGGTCTCTGGCTTCTCCCTGCTGCGTGGACCAGGAAGTTTGAGGGTGACCAGGGTGCTTCAGACCACAGGGGGCAGCCCTCGGTGTGGATGCTGGTAGCCTGTGTGGCCTTGCCCTTGGCTTCCTGGCCTCCTGGGGCCCCTTCTCCCTTATAGTCCAACCTAGGTGTCCGCACTTTCAGGTTGGATGTGTGTCTTTCCTTCCACATCTGCCTGGGGCCTGGGATGGGAGGTATAGCCAGCTATGGTCGGGGCCCTGCAGCTGGTCGCAAGCCCAGTAGGTGCCCTCTGGTCCCAGGTCCAGGATGTGGTGAAGTGCCAGATGGGTGTGTGTCGGACCGATGAGAGTGAAGACTCCCCCGACTCATGTAAGAATGGGCAGCTGCAGATCCTGGTGAGTGAGGAGGTCTGAGCATTCCCATATCCCCATCCTCTGCCCTAAGCTACTCATCTTCCCCATCCATGACAGGGAGGGACAAGAGGTTTGATTCAGGCTCTGCCACGGACAACGGGGTGGCATTGGCAAGTTCTTCCCTCATTCAGTTTTCCCAACTGTCCTGTGGGGCTCTGTTAGGCAGTATGTCCTGGGCAGCACCCCTGGCAGGAGGACTGAGCAGAGGTGGTAGGGAAGGACCTGCACCTGCTCCCACTCTGATACATTGATTCTTCCTCTGCCCACCTCTCTCCTTCTCCGCCTATAGTCAGACTTTGAAAAGGATGTGGATCTGGCTTGTCAAACAGGTGAGTCTACTGGGGTAAAGCTGAGAATGGCACTAGGGATGGGTAAGAAGGTGGACCCAAGTCCTGTCATGGGATACCCTGATGGAGGCCAGACTGCTGGAGTCTAGCTTTGGCATCAGACAGGCCTGAGTTGGATTCAGGCTGTGAATGCTGCTTATTAAACACCTTCTCTGAACCTCAGTTAACACACCTGTAAGGAGAGAATGCTATTGTCCCAGGGAAAGTGGGGAGGCTTAGGGCCTGCATCAATTAAGGACACAGCAGGAGCCTTGGCATATATTGGCTATTATATTATTGTATCATTTCCATGACTCTAACCAGAGTCTCCTTTCAGTCTTGTCTTCTGGGGTCATGCTGGGAGAACCAGGAGTGGGGAGGAGCAAGGCCCTTTGACCTTTTAGGCTATGGGGTAGAGTCAGGACATGCACCAGGGCACTGGGAGCTGGGCTTTGGCTTTGCTTCCTACCCTGCCTCCCTCTGTTCTCTTCCTATTGCCTGTGGTATGTGAGAGAGTACCAACCATCTGGACTCAGTTTCTCTCCCTGTTCAAGCTGAGGGGCCTGCTATCTGCCCTGCTTGGGAAAAGGTATCTGGGGACTCCGCCTCAAGTCTCATCTCCCCTTTCCATTCCTGCCCCAGTTCTGTTCAAGGAGGTCAACACTTGCAACCCGTCCACCATCACAGGCACACTGTCCCGCCTGTCCCTGGACGAGGATGAGGAGCCCAAGTCCTGCCTCGTGGGTCCTGAGGGTGGCCTCAGCTTTTCACCGCTGCCTGGGAACATTCTGGTGCCCATGGCAGCCTCACCAGGCCTGGGGGAGCCACCACCTCCCCAGGAAACCAACCCTGTGTATATGTGTGGGGAGGGTGGCCTGCGGCAGCTGGACCTCACATGGCTGCGGCCAACTGAGCCAGGCTCCGAGGGGGACTACATGGTGCTGCCCCGGCGGACTTTGAGCCTGCAGCCTGGTGGTGGGGGCACAGGGAGTGAGGAGGCCCCGAGGGCCCGACCCGAGGGGACCCCCCGGCGGGCTGCCAAGACAGTGGCCCACACTGAAGGCTACCCCAGCTTCCTCTCCATGGACCATTCGGGCCTTGGGATGGGACCTGCCTACGGGTCTCTACAGAACCCCTATGGGATGACCTTCCAACCACCACCACCGACACCCAGCGCCCGCCAAGTGCCCGAGCCAGGGGAGCGCAGCCGGACCATGCCCCGTACCGTGCCCGGCTCTACCATGAAGCTGGGCTCCCTGGAGGTGAGGGGCTGTAGGGCATGGGGAGAAGGTCTGCCCACTGTGCACCTGAGACCATATTTAAGTCACAGGCCGCAGTCAGGAAGTGATACTGTGGGCAACCCTAAAGCAGCATGTTCAGCCCGTCACTGGTAGCATACACACCGTATTTCTCCCTCTGCTGGGGCTCATAACAGCCGAGGAAATTCTGGTGTATCTGAACTGCCAAATGGACTGGGGCTTCATGCAGTGCTGATGCCCTTCTCAACCCATTCACTCGTGCCCTGATGCCTATTTTGGGGTGACAGTAGTCACTTTGCAGGATTATTTGGAGGCTTGAATGATGTAAATCGTTTATTTCTTTGTGGAGCAAGTAGAAAGTCCTAGAAAATTGGTTGCTACTGTTATCATCCCTGAAATCAGTCCCATGTATTGTTCATGGCCTCTTCCTGAGAAAATGTCAGCGTCCTGTATTTCTACCTGTGTGTTTTCTCTTGATGTTCTCCTTCCCTCTGCCCTGTTTCCTGCAGAGGATCTCTGGGAAGAAGCAGGTGGTAGTAACCCATGTTGAACTCTAGAACATTCTAGAATTCTAATTGGAGGTCTGCAGGGGGGATATGGTTAAGGAAAGAAGCTGGAGTCACAGCTCAGACATGATTGGCTACTCATGGTCAGCCTTAGATATCTGCTCTCTATCCTCCACATACAGAAAATTAAGTTAGCAGCTAGAGGGGCTGCAAGTTTAGATTTTCTCCTAAAATGTTTCTTGAACATTTGGTGCTTGCTCTTGTCACAGATGGCAAAAAAAAAAGGATGGCATGACAAACACAGAAAAGGTGACACCAGTGTTGAAGAGGGGTGGCAGGTTTTGTTTTGTGGACACTTGCCCATGATTGAGCAGATGAGGAGGGGCCAGTGTCAGGCTCATTGTGTGGGAGGTAGCAATAAATGTGGCAGCATTTTGAGGGGTCAAGGATGACGTCCAGAATTGTGTGGGCAACTGTGATGGATGGTGGTGGAGACATAGGCACAGGTTTGCAACACAAGCTGTATTTGCAGTGCCTGTGGGGCATCGGGAATGGAGTGACATCCTACTGCTTCCAGAAAGAAAGACATGGCCAGGGGTGAGGAGGACACACACAGGGGAAGGTCCAAGGCAGAGCATGACAGCCTAGTGGTAGGGAAGCCTGAGAGGGTGGTGGAGGCACAGTGGGCAAGGCAGTGAGAAAACCAGGACAGCAGTGTCAGGGGCCAGTGGTGGTGAATGTGCCACCACTACTTGGGGCTTGGGAAATCACATCATGGTCTAGTGTCACCAAATGGCAAGTCCCTTTCCCTCTCTGGGCTTCATTTCCCCACTTAACCTGGGAAAGGTGGCCTTGATCTCAGAGTCCTCCCAGTGCCAACATTCTGATACTCTAAGGTCTCCTTCTTGAGTTGCACTGGATGTCGTAGAGCTTGTTGGAACCTTGAAAATGGCCTTGGCAAGTGAGAGTCAGGACAGGCATGAGGAGGCATGGAAGCCAGGGAGGCAGGATCTGGTTTGGCAGGAAAAGAGGCAAGGCAGGGTCAAAGGAAGGTTTCTAAAGGCCCAAATCTCTGTGTTTGCAGGACAGATAAGGGGTTCCAGGGAGAGGGGAGCCTGGGCCTGGTAGAGAGAATGGGGCAGAATGGGGCAAGATAGAAAGTGGAATCCAGGCACAGAGAACATGAGTTGGCTTTGTGATCCCATGTGGAGGTGTGCCCCACAACCTGTGTATGGGCATCCGTGTGTGTGATCGTGTGTCTGCTCGTGCTTGTAAAGTGTGCATTACAGCCCTCTGCTCTTGTGCCTGTGCCCTTGCCCCATAAGGTTCCCAACCCCAGGGCCTGGGCTGGGGGAAGGTACATCAGAGTCTGAGCACCAGGAGCCCTGGTGTCCTGTCTCTGAAGTCCTGCCTGTGGTGAAAGCTTTCTTCTCCTTCATTGCTTCCCCACTGCTTTCTCCCAGCGAAAGAAGTTACGGTATTCAGACCTGGATTTTGAGGTAAGTACTGTGTATATGTCCGAGGGAGGGGCATCTGACCTTGGAGGAGCCAGTCCTAAAAGTGGTCCAAGCCCCATTTCAGAGCCTGACCCCAAGCCTCTGAGCCTGTGGTTTTTGTGGGATCTTCCCCACTATTTCCTCCTGCCCAAGCTTTTGGCTCTGGGTTGAAGATAGAGCCAGCTTTGTCCCAGAGGGGCCAGCAAAATGCAGGGATGTGGAGCCCAGGATGCTGAGTGCCCTCGGCAGGGGGGACAACCGTGCTGCCCTAGGGGAACACTCCTCTGACACCCGGTGGCTCCTAGAAGGTGATGCACACCCGGAAACGACACTCGGAACTCTACCACGAGCTCAACCAGAAGTTCCACACCTTTGACCGCTACCGCAGCCAGTCCTCGGCCAAGGTGAGGGCTCCCTTGCCTGTAGTTCAGGGCCTGGAGGTTGGCCCCTGAGGTCGGACCCCATGGCAGAAGGAGAAGCAATGGAGTGTGTCCTCAGGCAGGGCAGCCAAACAGGAGAAGTGGACTCTGAGGGATTCCTGCCCTCCTGCCCTCCTCCCCTGCCTCACCCTGCCACACCAAAGACATACCCATTGCGTGAGCAACAGTTCTGGGACTACATAGGGGTGGGAATGTGGCTTGGCATTTATGGGTCTATCAGGATCAGGAGCGAGGGTGGGCAGACAGGGATATGGTCTTAGGGGGCCACTCAGCACAGGGTTCAAGAGCCCCAGTGCTGGAGCCAGGCAAACCTGTATCTGAATTCTCTTTTGACACCTAACTGATCTGTAACGTTGGGCAGTCCTGGCCTTCTTGGGGTCTTCTCCATTTGTTCTGTACAATGGGTGAAGGGTACTGACCCATCATCATGGGCTCTTCTGGCTCCTTCCACAGGAGAAGCCCAGCCCTGGAGAGCGTCCTGGCCTGTCCCAACATCGGCGGCATCAGAGCTGGAGCACCTTCAAATCTATGACACTGGGCTCACTGCCCCCCAAGCCCCGAGAACGGCTGGCCCTGCACCGGGCAGCAGCCTGGGAGCCCACAGAACCGCCAGATGGTGACTTCCAGACAGAGGTGTGAGTGCCACGCCGGACTGCCCACTGCACAGAAATATATATCTCTCTATTTTCACACTCCACTTTGGAACTACCCAGGAGCCAGCGCCCCTCCCCCTCCCGAGGCTGGGCAGGAGGTGCAGAGGACTCAGCTGGGCGGGGGAGCCAGACATGGCATGGCCTGGAGGCCAGGGCCCCTCCTCGTTTCTTAGAGGCCCCTCAGCCACCCACCAGAGCCTCATCTTTGCCCCAGTCTGTCTGTCCCTGTCCCGGGCTGGGGAGGGGGGAGGGAAACTTTGTTGGGAATAAACTTCACTCTGTGGATTTGGTTGCAAAGCTGTTTGGTTGCCCCAGGTAAAGGCCCAGCCCTGGAACCCTGACTTTGCTCCTCCTTATTCTCATCAGATTGTGTGATGGAGTCAGGCCAGTCCTAGCCTGGGTTGGCTCTGCTCTCATCTTTGCCCCTGACTCCCTAGGTGACCTTGCACACATTCTATTCCCTGTCTGGGCTGGGGAAGAAGATGGAGAATGTGGGACGGAACCCCTTGTGTCTGACTGGCTGGTGGCTGCCATTCACTGGGGTGCAGGAGCACACTGCCTAGACTGAGTTGTGAGGGGTGGGGTCATGTGAGTGCTAGGAGCTTCACGCACATGACCTCTACTCCCTCACAACATCCTTGCTGGAAGGTTTTAGTTTGTCCCTTTTTGTGGCTAGAAAATGAGGCTAGAGATGGAAAATGACTTGCTGAAATAAAGGTCACAGTCAGAGGCTAGGACTTCAAGCCAGGCTTGGTAGAGGTGGTACTTCAGCTCAGCTTCTTGGGCTTGACCTTCCTGACTGCAGGGAGTTGGGTTGTGGTCGAGCCTCAGGTGTCAGTCTGGGCCAGGGTTCAGAGAGGGTGGAGTACAGAAGCCAAGCTACTTTGGTCAGGGCTCCAAGCCTCATTGCTGCCTGAGTTTCAGGGCACCCAGGAAGAGGGTCAGCAGGTAGAAATGTCTTGCAGTGGTGCTCCCATAGGCAGGTAACAACTACAGCAGGGGCACAGTTAGTAGGGCCATGGCTGCTGCTGGCCTCATCATTTAGCAGCATGCCCATCTCTGGGCCCTCCTACTCTGAGACACAGACCCAGGCCCTTGGAGAGCTAAGAGAGGAATAAGCTGCTGTAGGAGCTTGGGGGGGGGAGCGGTGCAAAGGAAAAGGGCCTGACCAGCAAGGTGGGCTATCCCAGCTGACAGTCTCCTTGAGGGGCCTAGCAAAGGGGATGCAGCCCCTTTGGAGTTTTGTAGAACTTGATGGCACAGGCTTCCTGAGTCACATTTGAATCCTGCCTGCAGTGGGCCCTGGTCAGAAGAGGCACATGAGCAGAGTCCACTGAGGACAAAGCTTCTTTTCCACCTCCCTCCCCTCAGATGGCCCCAGTATTTAGTTGTACAAAGCACTCACCCAGGCACTGCCTCATCATCCAATTCTTCCAGGTCGATGTTGTCACTACCCTATTTTACAGATGAGGAAACAGGCTCAGAGAGGGGACAAGACTTTTCTAACCTCTCATAGCTTGTATACAGAGATGTGGCCAAGAATGGGCAAGATCTACCAGCCAGCTAGCCACTGGGAACTTTGTTCACTCATGAGTGCGTGCAGGGCAAGGACAGCCATGAGTGTGTGGGGCCAGCCTGGGGTGATGGGCCCAGAGTCAGAGGATGTTCCATCTCTTCCTGGCTTGATCTCTGTGTGTGTGGCTGGCAGGTCTTTATTTTTTCAGGCAGGCATCCTCATCCCCTGGGCTCACCAGGCTTCCTCCTTACAGCTCTCACCATTACTTTACCCAGAGGGGAAAAATCTTTCCAAGTAGAAAATCCCCAAGGAAGGAGGAGCTCTGATTGGCCCCAGGCACTGTGATTGGCAGCTCCCTCAGGAATCTGGTAGAGAGGTAGGGGAAGCAGGCTCCAAAACAGGGCTTATTCCTAGAAGGGGGTGATAGGTTTGCCTAAACAAAGCCCCTTCTTCTGACCTTGTGCCAACAGATCCTACCCCATATCCTGGCCAGGCATTTCTTTGAACTGCCCCCTGTCACCACCTAGCAGACTTCCTAGTGCCTTTCCCTATGCTCCCATTCCCTCCTCCCCAGCCGTGGGCTCCACTGTTTGGGGCTTTCTGGGGTTGAGCTTCAGTGTGGGCTTCCCTCCCTTCTCACAGTTTCCTGCTTTGCATCTGAGTGGGGAGGAAGTTGAGTGTCCACTTTGTTGATTCTGCTCTATCTGTGGCCACAGCTGCCAGTAGAGGTTCCTGACAGCTTTGAGACCTATCACTTCTGTGGTCAAGACTGAACTTTTCTGCCTACCCTGCAGTCCCTGCTCCGCTAGACAATGACTTGCCATGTGCCTTTGGACACATGGGTTTTCTTATCCTTGGCCTGAAAGTCTCCCCGTTTGGGCTGACAATTTGCTATTTCTTTCCTGGGCTTGAATCTCTCACCATTCTGACCTTATTTTCTCGGCCTTCAGTCCTTTGTGCACATGACTCACGTGTAACTTTTCCAAAATGCAGATCTGGCTGCTGCCCAGCTCATATGCCTTCCATAGATCCTAGAATAAGCCTAGAAGTCAAGGCCCTTGGTTATATGGCCCTGGCCTGCTTCTCGCTGGACCCTCTCTTACACACATCTTTCTTTTTGTTTGAACTCTCTCCTCCTGAACTGGCAAACCCCTTCATGCTTCCAGACTCAGCCCAGGAAGCCCCCTCTGCGATGCTGTTCCTGAAGCCCCAGCTTAGCAGTTGCTACTCACTGGCATACTGGGTGCCACAGCCTGGGTGCACACTGTCACTGCTGTGCTGATCATGCAGAATGGCTACTACTATGTGTGGTGCCATGTGTAGTACTATCAGTGGAGCTCTACTGAGTGAAAGGGTAGAATGCACAGAGCTCGCTGAGCCTAGGTTTCCTCATCTGCAAAATGGGGATAATAATAATCTCTCCCAAGCCTTCCTCACTGGGTATCAAAACAAAACTGAAAATGATTCTTGGGGAGTTTTTTTTTTGGGGGGGTGCTGGTGATTGAACCCAGGGCCTTGTACATGCTAGGCAAGCATTCTACCAGCTGGGGGTGTGACTCAGTGGTAGAATACTTACCTAGTATGTAAAAAAAATTATTGAGGAGCATATTGTAGGCATTATCTGCTCTTAAAGTTCTTCCTCCTTGGGCCTTGGCACTATCGCTAGACCCCAGGTGGGATGCTGTCCAGGGTGCTGAAAATGGGCTCGTCTTCTCCCAAGAGACAAGGAGGCAAGCCTGCAAGGCCCAAACTCAGCTGCAGCCTCTCTTTGCCTCTCCTTGGGTCCTGGGTGAGCAGACCATGCCTTACCTTCATGAGACTAGGCTCTGGGGATGTCCACAAAAACACAATGTAAACGATATATTTAAGATTTTCCTGTAGCCATTTTTTTTAAGTTTAAAAAAATCAAAATTAATTTTAATAATATATTTAACCCAATATATTAAACATACCATTTCAGTATATAATCAATATAAAAAATTAGCAAGATAGTTTGCATTCTTTTTTTCATACTAAATCCATGAAATCTCATGTGTATTATGCATACAACACATCTCAATACCATCTTACCATCTTGCCTGTGCTCAGTACCCACGTGTGGCTGGTGGCCACCACACTGGACAACACTGCTTTTGAGCAGTGTCTTCTGTGAAAAGGAAGCACCTTGCCATGACCTATTTCATTGTGATCCTAAGAGGTGCTGTATGGAAAGCTCCCAGCACAGTCCCTGCTTGGAGGTTCCAAGTCAGTGCTCCTGGAATCTAGATGTTCCAGGGTGCAGGTGGGCACAGAGGGGCTGTGGGAAGTAGAAGATCCTAAGGACACCTGTGGGATGGTATCAACTGCTGCAGGGCTAGGGGAACGGTGAATCTACTACCCAAACTCCCTCAGCCTGTCTTCTTCCTTCCCACCTGCAGCCCCAGGCCCTGGGAGAAGGAAAGCAAGTTGGGGTTGGCACTCAAACACACACATTAAAACTCAATTGTGTTTAATTCATTTCCATTAGGCACCAATTAAAAGGAAATTAGGTGGCCTGGGTGGCCCGAGGGAGGACCTGGGGCAGAATGCTGCTGACTTCTGCCTCTTTGGATTCATTTCCCTCCATGCTTCTCATGCTCACCCTGGTAGCTATATGGGGCCCACAAATGGGTTTTTCTAGGGCCAGTACCCCCCACTTCCATATTCCTTCTCCCAACTACGCTAGGAAAATCATCACCCTCTCAGGCCCTCAAGACATGTGAAATGCCTAGGGCAGGGGAGACCCCCTTGAGGGTTTGGGACATTAAGACTAGTGGGAAGCCAAGGAAAGGGTTGAGCAAAGGCCTGGCATGATGAAATTTATATATTAACAGGATTTCTCCGGATTGAAATGAGTTGGGAGGGCACTGAAGAGTGAGGGTGGCTACAGAGACCCGCAAAGAGACTGTCCATAGGAGATGTAGAGGGATACTTCTGAGGGGGAAGGGAGTCAGGTCCTCATTTGGACTGGCCATAGCGGAGGCTGACTCTTGGGCTTCTGTCTTCCCCCTGATGGATGGCCATGCCATTGGCTTAGGGGCACAGAAAGAAGGCCAGCTTTGGGAAAGACAATGATGAATTTGACCTTGGGCATGTTAACTTTAATACAATGGAGGAAAGTAGGTGGTTGGACATACAGGGCTGGGGCTTGGGAGGGGCCTGGGCTAGAGTCACTGACCTGGCAGGAAGCTGATTGGAGTGGGATTGGAGTGAGTGGGAGGTGAAGGAATAAAAGAATAGACAAGTCTTCAAGTGGAGCTTTGAAAAGGGAGAGAGAAAATTCAGGACCTGCAGTAGGCGCTGAAGGTGAGGAGGGTGTCCTTACTCCCTCCACTGATCCTACATAATGACAAGACCCAAAATGACCAACTCTACTAACCTGGGAGGCAGGGTCCTGAGGCCCAGTAATGGTATTATTGCAGAGATTGATTCTGCTCATTTGCTGGGCTTCAAGCCAGTCACAGCTCCTGAAAGGGTATGTAGGGGGTGGGGGGACACACTCAACAAAGCCTGGACTCTAAGACCTTCTGAAAGCAGGAAATTCGGCTCCATGTGGAAGCTCTCTGGAGCAAGATGGAGATACAAGCACAGTACCCCAGCCACACCCTACTCCTGAGCAGGCGAGAGCAGAGGAGAGCCCTCCCCCACAGGGCCTGGTCCAGGTTGGTATGTCCCCCTCTCCTGTGGTGGCACTGCATGGTTCCAGCCATCAATCCAGGCATCCCTAGAGTCAACCAAGAAAGTCAATATT